TCTCCCCACTTTTTCCCTTTCCACATTCAAATAATAGCAGGCTAAATCAAGCAAAATTAAGAAAAGTTCGCTTGGGCGTATACGGCTTTTTTTAAAAACCCTGCTATGAAGGTTTATCTAAACAAAAAGGTCTGTCCTAAGCAATTCAGCAAGTAAACCGGATAAGTTTGTTAGATAACCAATTCAGGCTTTCGGCAACGCCCCTTATTACAGTTGCACACTGCCTGTAGGGCGGTGGAAACTAAGGAGGCGAAAAAATGTTACCCCGGTCGAGAAACCCTCAGCAATGTGATCCACAGATACCCGTGTTTGTAGTTTTGTTGGACAAGTCGCTACCTCAGAGTTACAAAGTTATATCTGCTCAGTGCCTAGTTTTGAGACTTTTGACGTCAAATATTTTGAGCTTCGAAATCATGTCAAGCTTTATTCGAAAGCATTTTTTTTAAATATTTTGATTTCACACATCATGGATAACATACTGAGCACTCCCTACAGAATCCCTGCGAGATTAATAAAGATTGTCATTGTCATAACGACTCCGAATAATCTGACGATTTTGATAGAGCAGATAGAACATTTGGTTTCTGACCTCGGGGTCTTAGTAACTCAAACAAACCAAAAAAAATGTCAGATAGAACTTTGTAATTCTGAGGTAGCGAAGTTTCTAAAACAAAACTGTCCTGCATACCCGAGGGGTGTGGTGCTGCTGACATTTTTAGCTATGCTGTGAGTTCAACGTAGCTTTCATGTTTGAGTTGTTATAGTAAGAGTCTTACAGCACTTGAAATACATACAGGTTATATAAGTGCCGAAGGCTAGAGGTGTTACTGGAGAGCAACATACAAAGAAAAGAATGAGAAGATGTAAGGACGATAGATGTTTAACACTGGGTTTTTTTAAGAGACAGAAACTCTGAATTATATGCTAAATCCTAAGAGAACAGAATTATGTAAGAACCATTGGTTGAAACCATTGAAAAGTTTCCAAACTATACACCTTCAAGAACATCCCAATTTTAGAACATTTGATTTTTTTTAAAATTTAACTTAGTCTGTCGTCTTTCAAGTCATATTTACATTTTTCACTCTCCAGTTTATTCTTTTTAAAACGAGATCGATGTTTTTGTGGATGACTCGGGCAGCAAGGTTGATCTTCTGTTTTTATCCTGTTATCCAAAACAGTTGCTGACGAAATAAGTCTGTTGTACTGTTGACTCACTGTCCACGACACCTCAGCTTGACTCATTCCCTACCACGAGCTGTATTATCGACTCGGCTATATGCCTTTATAATTATATCCACACTATTTATTCCAGTCCAGACTCTGAAATAATATTCACAGTTTGATTCGCAAATGCATTGTACATAATTATATATAATTTATGCGGTTTTTTTAGTTTTGTTATTTTGTTTGTTTGCTTTTTTTTTCAAATTCTCCATTCGTTTTCCTTTTTCTTCCCTTTTTCATTCTTTTTTTTTCTTTCTTTTTGGATATGCTTGCACTTGTATATTGGTTTTGCTAAACAATAGATAAATTAAACAAATAAGTAAATGAGTGAACAAAATGCAACGTATGCACTGAACAGGTGCTTGTCGTTCGAAGAAAGGAAATTGCTTCCAGAAGGGAAGACTATTACGTAGTGAATGAATTAAGTCATAAAGACCTGGAGGTGGCGCCGGCTTACGGACAGGGATAAAACGCTGTGGACTGTGGGCGTTGACACGTCTCTCTTTATTTTCCTCTCTCTCTCTCTCTCTCCCTTACCAACTCGATGCATCTTTCAATCTCTCTCTTTCTCTTTCTCTCTCTCTTTCCCTCTTTCTCTCTCTCTTTCTCTCTCTCCCTCTCTTTCTCTCTATCTCTCTGTCTCTGTCTCTGTCTCTCTCTCTGTCTCTCTCTCTTTCTCTTTCTCTTTCTCTTTCTCTTTCTCTTTCTCTTTCTCTTTCTCATCGTGTTCCCCTCCTCTCATCTATCTATCTATCTATCCATATATCTATCTATCTATCTATCTATCTATCTATCTATCTATCTATCTATCTATCTGTCTGTCTGTCTGTCTG